TGTATTTTTTAGTAGAGGCGGGGTTTCACCGTGTTAGCCAGGATGGTCTCGATCTCTTGACCTCGTGATCTGCCCACCTCGGCCTCCCAAAGTGCTGGGATTACAGGCTTGAGCCACCGCGCCCCGGCAAACTGGGCTTCTTGTCCTTGCTGCTTGAGTGACAACCCTGGGGTCATCCTTAGGCCCCATCACTGCCCCGCTTCTAAATGGAAAACATTTTGGCAAATCTTCCTGGCAGAGGCCGGGGGCTCATCCCTGTCACCTGTTGTAGCTTGGGAAAGCCGGGTTAAGACATCTGGGCAAGCAGACAGTAGAGGGGCCCCCCGGAAGGGTGGGTGGAGGGCGCTGGCCTTTGGACTTGCCTGGACCAGGGTGGGAAGGAGGAAGTTTACCAGGAAGTAGAGCTCTCAGGGCTGTGGTTAGGAGGAGGTGGTAATGCTGGTGGGGGCATGGGGATGTGGCTGGTTTGGGGTGGAGGATCAGTGACAGCCAAGGTTTGTCAGCCTGCAGCGGGGTGACTGACTCATGGACTCGGGCCTGAGGAGCCCATTGGTTGCCCTTAGTTCTTGGATCCTCGGAGACTTCTGGAGCCTGGATCTGGACAGCCTAGGGGTGGAGGTGGTGAGAGGCAGGGGTAGGGGTGGGATGGGAGGCCTTGCATGACAAGGTGCGGGACAGGAAGTCAGCCAGGGACTGGTGTGCAGTGGCTGCTCCCATCCCCATTCCCACCCCAAAACCCACCCCTACCCCCACCCTGGTGCAGGGTCTCTCCTGGGCAGGTGTCCTCTGGCCTCAGCAGATCCCAAGCTAGAAGCGGGCAGCCACACAGGGATGTCACTTGTGCCAGCTTTGTCCTGCAGTTTCTGCTTCCTGGAGTGTGGGACGCCCACCCAGGAGAGCACGGGCACACCCCACACCTCTCATTTTGAGGGTGCTGGGAGGTGGGGGACCGAGGTCCTGCAACCCTGGGCTTGTGCCATGATAATTAGCCTAGGAGTCCCGTGTCCGCCCATCCACGTGGATCCCAAGAAGCATGAACAGTGGCATGCAGTGAGATGAGGAGGGAGAGAGAAGTGGAAAAGAAGGAGAGAGAAAGAAAGATGGGGAGAAGGGAGTGAGACAGAGGAAGAGAGATGGCGAGAGAGACAGAGGAGGCTAAAGGATAAGGAGCGAGAGAGATGAGAGAGACACAAAACACAAAGAGACAGAGAGAAACGTGCATGAGTAGGAGGTCGAGTTACTCTTGATGCCAGTTCCCAGTGAAAACTGTAGGCCACCATCACCTAACCACACATGCAATAAATCTTCTGCCTGCTGGAGCCCTGAGTACCCCTTCTCGTGGAGCATAAAACCTTTGACTGCAGCCCTTCCTCACTGCAATTTTGTTGTGTCTTCCGTGAACCCTGATGCCTTGTCTATTGCCTTCCTGGACTCAAGGATCCACCAAAAACTGATGCCTCTTTTGGGGAGAATTTGAGTGCCTTCAACTCACTAGGCCCCCCAGGAAGCTTGCGCACTTGGCTGGGGCCCTAAGCAGCTGGGTACATGCTGGGGCTCTGCTTCTCTCTTTCAGTAAGAAGGAGAACTAAGAAAGAGACTAAAGCATGGTCTGTGGAGAAGGCACTTGTGCAAACACCAGGAGAACGAGGGGTGTGAATTGTCTTCGTTTCTCCTAAAAGCATGCATTCCTGGCTGGGCGCAGTGGCTCACGCCTGTAATCCCAGCACTTTAGAAGGCCAAGGTGGGCAGATCACTTGTGATCAGGAGTTCGAGACAAGACTGTCCAACAGGGAGAAACCCAATCTCTACTAAAACTACAAAATTAGCCGGGCATGGTGGTGCATGCCTGTAATCCCAGCTACTCAGGAGGCTGAGGCAGGAGAATTGCTTGAACCCAGGAGGTGGAGGTTGTCGAATTTGCGCCATTGCACTCCAGCCTGGGCAACAAGAGCGAAACTCCATCTCAAAAATAACAAAAAACAAAAACACATTTCTTCCCAGGCCACCCTAGTGAGGGCGTGAAGCACAGCGTGCGTGTGTGTGGGTGTCCAGGTTTATGCATGTGTATGTGTGTGCATGTGTGTGTGTGTGTGTGTGCGTGTGTGTGGGTGTGTGTTGCAGGGCTTTACAGTGGACAGGATGTGGAAGGGCAGCTGCAGCTCCAAGCTGCAAGTCTCTCTGACAGAATGCTGAACGTTCCTCGGACCACAGCAAGAGAGTGTGTTCATTTGCACCCATTTTTATTAGCATTTACACTGTTTTTTTACCATGTAACCTTAGTTTTAATATTCTGAGCATTTACACCATGTCAGCTTTTGCTGTGAGGCCAGTTTTTGACACTTCAGGGGAAGGTGAAGGATGAGCGAGATGATTCAAGTCCGTTACATTTCTTGTGTGCTTTATTTCCATTATTATTTCACTGTAATATATAATGAAATAATTACACAACTCACCATAATAGAGAATCAAGGGGAGCCCTGAGCTTGTTTTCGTGTAACTCCATGGTCCCATCTGGGGGTGATGGGAAACAGCCACAGATCATCAGGCATTAGGTTCTCATAAGGAGCACGCAGTCTAGATCCCTGGCATGCGCAGTTCACAGCAGGGTTCATGTTCCGATGAGAATCTAACGGCACCGCTCCTCTGACAGGAGGCAGAACTCATGGGGTAATGTGAGGCATGGGAAGTGGCTGCTTCTACAGATGAAGCTTTGCTCGCTGGCTGGCTGCTCACCTCCTGCTGTGTAGCCTGGTTCCTAACAGGTCAGGACCTCTGATTTACCCAGTAAGATACACACATTTTTATGTCAATTAAAATTATTCACCCTGCAGCACCCAAAATTATCTTGCATACCTACACCCACCCGAGGGTCCCGTAGTGCACTAAGCCTGGAGCTCCATTGCGCATCCCGTCTCTCCACCATCTGTGGGCTAACAGGCTGCATTGGTTTCCTAGGGCTGTTTTGCAGGACCACAGACTGGGCACCCTCAACAACAGAATGTTACTGTTTCCCAGTCCTGGAGGCCACGAGTCCAAGATCAAGGTATCAGTAGGGGGGGTCCCTCTGAGGCTGTGCAGGAAGGCTCTGTTCCAGGCCTGTCTCCTGATGCATGGGTGGACATCTTCTCCCTGTGACTCTTCATTAAGGGTCATTCTGGTGAGGGTTCAGAAGAGGAGACTTGGACAGAATGTTGGTAGATAAATATGTCAGTGGAAACCAGAGGGTAAACAGGATTCCATTCACACCCAGGGCTTTCTGGGGATACGGCTGTCCGAGCAGCAGCCACTCCCAACCGAGTTCTACTCCTGGAAAGCCAGGCAACAGCTGGGGCTGGGCCCTCTGCGATTTGTTTAGTGACCTGATTATGTGGGAGGCTTTGAAGTTCTTGCATGATGTCACGACCGATGTCAGGGCATTGTAGGACTGGGAGGTCCCTGGGGCTCTCCCAAGAAAGAATCCACAGTCACTAAAACAAATGCAGCCTTAGAATTAGGTGGGGTGAGAGGGAGAGGGGCAGAAGGCAGCATAAACACTAGTGCCCAAAACACTCATTTTATGTGTTCACTTCATTCTCACAATCATCCTGTAAGACAACGGTGGTGACTGACTGTAGGATCCTAGGTAAGTGGCCAGGTGCCAATCCCCAAACCTCCCTCTTTCCCTACCTCAGCCTGTGACATGCTTAGAGCCTCTGCTACCCGATATAGGGCCTTTGGTGACTCAGAAAAAGGCTTCTTCTCTGGGAGGATTCTGTCCCATGGGGTATGGCTTCTTGGGCAGAGCGTGGACTGAATTGCAACCCCACCTGTCATCTCAGTTGGGCCCTCCTTAGCTGTGTGCAAAGCACACACTGCATGTGGCAGTGCTGTTCATGCTGGCAAAAAGAATTATTTCCTCACTTGCAACAGCATCCAGACACTGTTCTGGCCATAGCAAGTCATGCATTTTATTGCCAAGAAAAAGAAAACTTACAGTTTCAAGAATAAGATGCCCAGATTTCTATTCTTTCTCCATACCTGTAGGCCCTAGGAAATCAGCCTGCTTTCCTCCTTACCAGAGCTACTGCTACCCACTCCATTTTGGGGTGTCCTTACTCCTCAAGATGGGTGACAGAGTAGAATGCAGCTTCTCTTAACTCGCCCAGCCCTCCCCGGCTTCTCTGTTGCCTCCGAAGACAGACAAGCAGGCCCTTTCCATTTGGTGGTTGCCACTGCCGTTGACAATGGGCCACTGCTAGACCTACAAGACACTCACAATTTGACCCGTCAGAGTTCTTTATCAGTTTCTGGCTCCCTTTTCTTATGTGGCTCTTGATAGCTCTGCTATTGGATGCTTTCTAGTTCTCAAACTTCCTGCCTCTTTGGAGCTTCCCTTTCCCTCCAAGTCATGCAGGTCGACTTCTCTCTCTAGTAGGCTAAGGGCAAGGGCCATACAGGAAGGCAGGTAGGAGCCAACCACCACTGAGGTGCCCTCGTTTCAAGGGCTTCTTGGCTCTCCAGAAGGCGGACATCCACCTCAATGAGCTCCAACCCCAAAGGTCACCCTTAGGTGACTTCTCAGTGGAAGAAGCCAGGAGACTACTTCTCCACCTGCTCCCAGCTGACTGCTCGGCCTGGATGCTCTAAGCGATAAAGGGGAGCAGAGCCAGACTTCCCTCACTTGATGCATGAGCTCCTCTCCAGGAACACATCCTTAGGTCTCAAATCTTCTGAGAGAGACAGAGAGAGACGCAATAAAGCGAACACTGGCATTCAAAGTGAGCAAGGTTTGGAGGTTCCGATCCATACACCTAAGCAGCTACTGGTCCTGAATGACATATCAAGGGGCATGGCATGCCGCTACTTAGAGACAGATGCCCTCCTTACATTTATTAATGGCATCCACTTCTGTACACAGCTCACAGGGGATTTCCAGTTTATATCCCCTCTCATTCCAGTTTTGTTTCCTTCCTTTTTTCTTGACCATTGAAACAATATATGCTTATTGTAGACAACTGAGAAAATGAAAACAGAAAAAATCCTACTCAACCAGAGGCAATCACTGTTAATAATTGGTCCAGTTTCCTTTCAGTCTTTTTTCTACCCATCGATTGAGGTCATTCTGTAGAAATGATTTAATACTTGCTTTCATTTGTTTAACATCAGAAGTATTTTTCCAGATTATAAAATTATTGTAAGTAATTTTAAATGGCAACACAATATTCCATTATAAATCTCATTGTATAGGTAATGACGTATTTCAATGTTCTCCTAAACTTGTTTTCAGTATGTCTCCATTTTTTCCTCATACTGTGATAAATGACATGTGACAAACATCTTTAACAACAATGTAGATTGGTGTGTATTGTCCAAGAGGCTTTCCACCAGGGAGTGAAGGGAAACTTTCTTACCTAATGGAAGGGCAGGATTTGTAAATACATTTCCCATTGCATAACAAGCATTCCATCAGACTTTCATGGCAGCTTCTGTTAGAACAGTAGAAATTAGGGCCTGGATAGACTCCTCAATTATTTCTGCAAATGTGGGTTTTTCTATAAGAGAGGGTTGCAGAAAATGAAGCAAATTTCCAAGGGCCCGGACTGCATTGCTCTTTACCTAGAAAAAAATGTAAACGCTTTAGAAATGTGTTTTGCCAAAGAGATGTTTTCAAAAGTCTAATTTCAGCTTTTAAAAAACCCAGGAGGTCCTCAACTTCTTAAAGCAAGTCCTTGGAACTCACAAGGTCTGCCCTGGTTAATATCCTGAGCCATCAGAAAGGTGACGTTCTACAAAACTCCTCTCTCTGATTATTTATTTATTTATTTTATTTAGTGCTAGAGAGGACCTCAGAGAGGTCCATCTTCCTTGTTTTACTGAGATGGAGTATAAGGTCCGGGGACAATAGGACAAGGCTGGTTGATAGCAACATGATGAGGAGAAGCTAGGTTCCATCATTCCAGTCCGATACTTTTCTACTACACTAGAGTCTCAACCTCTGCAGCCCACCAGAATCATTTGGGGAGGTTTTTCCTTTTGTTTTAAAACCAATTTGCAGGCCCTAACCTCAGAATTTCTGATTGAATTACTCTGAGGCAGGGCTTCCTGGGTGATTACCAGATTTTCAGAAGTTGTATTAAAGTGAGCACATGGTATGGGTCAGGTATTGTGCTCGGTGCTTTAACATAAGGCATCTTCATATCCGGTGAGGTATAGAACTTCCATGTCACAGGTGAGGAGCTGACCTTCAGAGAAGTTACATAATATACCAAAGTCACCCAGCTACTAAAGGGCAAGCCAGGGCTTGAATCCATGTATGTCTGACCTAAAGCCCAGACCTGTGCTTTTTAAACTGATTAATTTAACAGGTAATATTCAAAGCCAAGAGCTACTCATTTTTCTGACTTATAAATTCTACTTAAAATTTTTTTTGGGGGGGGGAATAAAAAAAAGTTAATTTAAAAGGAACCTGAATATGTTATGTAGTATTACAATGGGCACTGATAGTTTTCGGGAGGCAGGAGACAGTAAAGAAACCATACACGTGTGGAATAGGCCGTTTATACGCTGAGCACACCCTCAGTCTCCTTTGAACAGGAGTACATTTGGTGGGATAGTCTGAGGAGCATCAAGTCACACTAAACTACCTCACTGCAGCTACAATACATTAAGGATCTGTTTGGGAGATACTGGGTTTTGTCGTGAGTCTACCTTGTGTTTATCCTTGGATGCTTCTATAGCTGATCGCAACATTTTCAAGAGCAGGAGACCAGAGAACTCTTCCTGGAAACTTGGGTCTGGTGTTTCCCTGTTCCACCCAAAGCAGGCAACACATGTTAAAAGGTAAATCACTTAAATATATACATATAGAAATATATTCACTTAGTATAAGCATAAAAGTTTAGGAAACGAGTTTAACAGATCTGCTTAGATTGTATCAAGAAACTTACAGTATATATATTTTGACCCAATAGTTCCCCACCTAGGAATGTCTCCAAAAAAAAATCTCAAAATGCAGATTTCATGCACAAAAATATTCACTGAATATAAAAGACTACAAGCCTAAAGCCTAAAACAGATGTTCAGTAATAGAAAAATGGTTAATTATCACACAGTGATAATTATGTAATCATAAATAAGGATTTCTAACAAGGCAATAATAAAAGAGAATGCTTACACACGTTACATGTCGCTTATATGGTGAAGTGACGAAAAGCAGGACACTTGCACATGAACAACCAGCTACCTCTGGGGAGGGGAACTAAGGTGTCAGGGTAGAAGACAGGCTGCACACCGAATGCTGCTTTGTACTGTTTGGCTTTTTTTTAGCCTGTGAATATGCCACTTTAAGAAATTTTTTCAAATGCATTTTAAAAGTACAGTAACCATTACTAAGGTTTTGCTTTTATGTTTTCTATAATGTGGACATATTACTTATATAGGTATACAGTATTTTTAATACATATATGTCTAATATATTCCTAATATATATTAAGAACAGCTTATTTTATTTTCTGAAAGAATATATATATATCTATATATATATATAAATAAAGCAGGAAGCGGGATAATAAGCAGGAACTACTGTTGATTCTTTCATGGTAGGAATCGAGGACATTCTCTTGGGTCCTCAGTCTCAGAAGTCAGCTGGGGAAAGCAAGGTGAGTCACCTACATGTTGACAATCAGCGTGTCTGTCAGGTTGCCCAGGGACCAGGCTGCTTTGGTTCGAACATTCAGAGACTTGTCTTCAAGTGACATCAATATTGCATTTACTGTGTCTGCAACAAATATGACATCCTATAAGACAAAACAAAACACTGCCGTTACTTTAGCAGGTCAAGTTGCTACCTTTGAAATTCTCAAACTTATTTTCAGATAGAGCTATAAGCCTTCACGCAAATTTCTACTTGGAAATAAAAATTCATCTACTCAATCAATTTACTGTTCTTCTTGTATTTTACAATTTGGACACTCAAAAAAATCCCACGGGAAGCTCCTATGATTTTGGTATGTGCCATGGACACCCGAGAAGCCTATGGATTTTGCCCTTATGAATATCGAATATATAACCTGGCCTGGTACAGTTATCTGTGAACTCTGTGCTTGGTTGATTTCCATCTCAGGAAATAATGTTCTGGAAAAAGAAATGCATTTATTTCCAAAACACATCCTATGTACCACACACCTCTCAGTGAGATAAATGTCACAAGTAAGAGTGAAAGAGGACATTATGTCTTTTTGAATAAAAACTATGTCAGCTTTCTAAATGATGACTACCACCTGGTAATGTCCCATTTCATTTTTATTATATCATTCATTCATTTAAGCATTTATTGGGTGCTTAAGGTCCCAGGGAGTGTGCTAAGCAATTAAAAATTAAAAATTAAAAATAAATACCATATATATATATGGTAATGCCTCAGTTCATTTATATATATGATATATATATGATAATGCCTGTAGTTACATATATAGAACTATATTTATGTATAACTATATATATATAGAGAGAGAGAGAGTGTGTGTATCTGTGTGTGTGTGTGTGTGTGTGTGTGTCTGGCTGTGCCACCCAGGCTGGAGTGCAGTGGTGTGATCTCTGCTCACTACAACCTTCACCTCCTAGGCTCAAGTGAGCCTCCCATCTCAGCCTCCCAAGTAGCTGGGACTACAGGCGCATACCACCATGCCTGGCTAATCTTTTTATTTTTTGTAGAGACGGGGTTTCGCCAAGTTGCCCAGGCTGGTCTCAAACCCCTGAGCTCAAGCAATCCACCTGCCTTGGCCTCCCAAAGTGCTGGGATTACAGGCATGAGCCAGCATGCCTGGCCCATGACCATATTTTAGTAGCAATTAAGGAAATCATATTACAAAGCAATTTAGTTTCCTTTACTGTCCAATGCAGGAGCTCTATATCCACAAACTAGGGGTGTCATGGACAATAAAGGAGCACAGAAGAGCTAAACAGGCTCACTCTGCCCTGTCTGAGACAGGGAAAAAGCACATAGGCTCCCAGGGCCCGTGAGGTTGCAGCTTTCACTAAGCGATTCCTGCTGTCATTCAGTCCGAGCAGCACTGTGAGTGATGCACAGGATCGGCCTGTCATTCTGCAATGAGAAGGTTGACAAGGGAAAAATGAGAATGAAATAACTACGAGCCAAAGGCTTCCATAAAAGATGTGAAATATCTGTGTCTGAGACCATATTCAAGAGTTGAATACCACTGCGACCTTGAGGCTACCCTGGTAAAGAGCAGGTTCAATTCAGATTCCATGATTATCTGAGCACCCACTTTATGCAAGACACACACAGCAGCTCATCACGTTCAACCTTTATTAAAGTTGCCGTCTTTATAGAAGCTCATTTATGGAAATAAGAATGGATGCAAATGTCACTGAGGACTAAAGAAAAAGAGCAGTCTGAAGACCACTATTCTGAATAGCAGTATTCTGAATGTTTATGCTCCCTCAAAATTCCTATATTGAAATCTTCACTCCCAGGGTGATGGTATCAGGAGTTGGGGCTTTGGGGAGAAGATCAGGTCATGGGAACAGAGCCCTCATGAAAGAGATAAGTGCCCTTATGACTGAGGCCCCAGAGAGCTGCCTTGCCCCTTCCATCACATGAGGACACGGCTCACATGGTGCCACCTGTGAGCCAGAGAGTGAGCCCTCCTTGAGGCACCAAATCTGTCTGTCAGTGACTTGATCTTAATTCCAGCCTCCACAACTATGAGAAATACATTTCTGTTGTTTAGAAGACACCCAATTTATGGTATTTTATGACAGCAGCTCAAACAGACTAAGACAAATACTATATGTGTTGGACAACGAATCTGTGTTTTCACATACTTTGTTATTTTTCACATGACTGCCACCATGTGATCACATGCCCTTCATCCATCTTTGGAACTGGCACAGTGTGGGGGTAGCAGAAACAACCTGAAATCATAGGAGTTTAATAGAACCAGGGTGGGGCTGGTGGGGGGCGGGGAGGACACGGGTACCAGATTTACCTCCTATGTGTTAGCATCTTTACATGTCATTCGATTTGTCAACAGCCTTGTGACTGAGGAGTTATGGTTTATTATTCCTTTTTACAACTAGGAAATCATGCCTATAACCACATATCCATTAAGTGGCTGGTATGGTTTGGACGTGCGTCCCCTCCAAATCTCATGTTGACATGTGACCTTCCATGTTGGAGGTGGGCCTAGAGGAAGGTTTTTAGGTGATGTGGGCAGATCTCTACTGAATGGCTTGGTGCTATCCCTGTGGTAATAAGTGAGTTCTTACTCTGATATTCAAACGAGAGCTAATTGTTTAAAAGAGCCTGGCATCTCCCTCTTGCCTCCTCTCTCGCCATGTGACATGCCTGCTCCCCTTTCGCCTTCCACCGTGACTGGAAGCTTCTGGAGGCCTCACCAGAAGTAGATGCTGGCGCCATGCTTCTTCTATAGCCTGCAGAACTGTGAGCCAGACAAACCTCTTTGAAAAATAAATTGTCCAGTCTGAGGTATTTCTTTACACAGCAGAAAAGAGACTAATACAGAAAATTGGTACCAAGGAATGGGTTGTTGGTACAAAGATACCTAAAAATGTGGAAGCAACTTTTGGAACTTGGTACTGGGCAGAGGTTGAAAGAGTTTGGAAGGCTCAGAAGATAGGAAGACAAAGGAAAGTTTAGAACTTCTCAGAGACTGATTAAATGGTTGTGACCAAAGCGCTGATAGAAATATGGAGAGTGAAAGCCAGGCTGAGGGGGCCTCAGATAGAAATAAAAAAGTTGGGAGAACTGGAGGAAAGGCCACCTGTGTGACACCTTAGCAAACAACTTGGCAGCATTATGCCCATGTCCTGGGGATTTGCATAAGGTTGAACTTAAAGAGTAATGACTTAGGGTATCTGGTGAAAGAAATTCGAAGCATCATTCAACAGGTGATGTGGCAGCTTCTCACAACCTATAGTCCGATGTAGGAGCAAAGGAATGACTTAGAGTTGGAAGTTACCATTAAAAGGTTAACAGCATAAAAATGTGGAAAATTTGCACCCTGGCCCTGTACTGGAGAAGGAATCCAAGCTCCCAGCAACTACCTGACTAAAAGGGAGCCAGGTGCTAATAGCCAAGACTATGGGAAAACAGCCTTAAGGGCATTTTAGAAATCTTTGAGGCAACCCCTGCCATCACACACCCAGAGGTCTAGAAGGAAAGTGGTTTTGGGGGCCAGGCCCAGGGCCCCACTGCTCTGCACAGCCTTGAGACACTGCTCCCAGCATACCCAGCCTTGGCTCACAGGGCCCCAGATACTGCTTGGTTTTCTGCTTAGTGGGTACAAGCTGTCAGCCTTAGCGGTCTCCATGTGGTGTTAAGCCTGCAGATGCATAGAATGCAAATGTGAAGAAGGCTTGGGAGCTTCTACCTAGATTTCAGAGGATTCCCTAAGCCTGGGTGCCCACGCAGAAGCCTGCCACAGGGACAGAGCCCCCACTGAGAGCTTCTACTAGGGCAGTGCCAAAGAGAGATATGGGGTTGGAGCCCCCAAACAGCGTCTCCAACTGAGCACTGCCCAGTGGAACTCTGGGAATGGTCACGGCCTACACCCAGCAAAGCCACAAGGGCAAGGCTGCCAGAAGACTTGGAGGCCCACCCCTTGCACCAGTGCGCACTGGATGCGGGACATGGAGTCAAAGGACTGTTGTGGAGCTTTAAGGTTTAGTGTCTGTCCTGCTGGGTTTCGGATTTGTGTGGGGCTCGTTGCCCCTTTCTTTTGGCTGCTTTCTCCCTGTTGGAATGGGAATGTCTACCCAATGCCTGTACACCACTGTATCTTAAAAATCAATAACTTGTTTTGGATCTTACAGGCTCACAGGTGGAAGGAACTTGCCTTGATTCGCAGCTGAGATGTTGGACTTTTGAGTTGATGCTGGAAAGAGTTAAGACTTTGGGGAACTATTGGGAAGAGATGACTATTTTGCAATGAGAGGAACATGAGATTTGCGGGGGCCAGGGGCAGAATGATATGGTTTGGATGTGTGCCTCCTCCAAACCTCATGCTGAAATGTGACCTCCAACACTGGAGGTGGGTCTAATAGGAAGTGTTTGGGTCATGGGGGCGGATCCCTCTTGAATGGCTTGGTGCTGTCCTTGTGGAAATGAGTGAGCTCTCCCTCTATGACAGCTGGTTGTTTAAAAGAGCCTGGCATCTCCCTCTTGCTTACTCTCTTGCCATATGACATGCCTGCTCCCCCTTTGCCTTCCACCAGGATTAAAAGCTTCCTGGGGCTTCATCAGAGGTAGATGCTGGCATCATGCTTTTTGTATAGCCTGCAGAACTGTGAGCCAGATAAATGTCTTTTCTTTATAAATTGCCCAGCCTCAGGTATTCCTTTATAGCAACATAAAATGGACTAATACAATCATGTTCCCTAAATTTGATCCCATGGCTTTGGATACAAAATTTCTGGCTCTTTGTCTCTTGGGCAGGCTGAATAACCAGACTAGGTTTTATGCAAAAGAAATATTAGTTTTACTATTGCTGGTTACATAAGCCTACCGCATACTAAATTGCAAATAAACTGAAATGTAAAATAAAACCCATTTATACTAGTTTCATGTTTTCCTGGATTATAAAACACAATTTTTGACACTGGAAGACACCATACCATCTATTCCACTTACCACTGAACTTCAAAATAAAACTGCAACTGAAGCACCAATAAAAGAAAACTATGAATTGACATTTATTTACCAAGAAGACTGATACTCTCTGATCAGGTGCTACAGTAGAATCCAGTTGATACTGCTGTATTAAGCCTGTGCCCAGTTCTTCCAGAAGCTGCCAAGAAAAAAGAATTACCAAAGCAGAGTATTAGGACTAACAGACAACTGCACTTAAGTTTGGAGATCACCTCAAGTCAAGGGGAAACATAATTTACAACTCATTTTCTTCCTTTTTTCAGTCACTCTTAACAGAGGCATTCTTTCAAGGACTGAAATCAACAGCTATATCTTATTCATTTGTTACCGAATCAATTCTTGGGGTTTACATGTAACAGCTGAAAACAGAAGAATGTATAGTCTTCCTCACCTGAAATCTCTTTAAGAAATCTCAGAATTGAAGGACATGTGGCAGAAGAATATAAAGTGAAGAAAAGGAGGGATATAAAGTGACGAGAAGGAAAAAGCGTTGTGGTTTTGATGAAAATTACCTTTGCTCCATGAAGCTGAATGGATGGATCTGCTTCCCCCATGCACTTGCAAATCACCTCTCCAAGTTCCATCAAGTAGGCTTGAGTCATTGAAAAGGAGCCCCTTGCCAGAAGAGCCAATACCTGCAGAGAGAGCATGGAATTAACCCTCTAAGACCTGAGTGCAAGGCTGCAATATCCAGAAAAGTGTGATAATATTTCAGAAATCGCTTATGTTTAACAGGGGCTGAAATCTGTCGAATGAAATTAAGAACCATAATCTTTATTTCATGACTAACATCAATTAACTGTATCATAGTTTTATGGTGCTTTAGCATATGATTGCTTTTCATTAATGTAATCTCATTTAAGTCTTGGAACTATTCTTTAAGTTAGGTATTAATTGAATTTTACCGCTAGAGATACTAAGACTGACAAGGTTAAAGGATATGTTTCACGTTGTCCAGTTAATTAGCAGCAGACCCCAGGACCAGGCCTAGTCTCAGATCACATTTGTATAGAAAAAGTAAACTCTTTTATCGAGGATTGTTTTCTTTCTTTGAAGGAACAATTATTTTGTTGCTCTAAGCAGGTACAAGACCAAGGAGAAGCTTATAAAGAATTAAACATTTAAGTTGAAAAAAATCAAAAATTAACTGTACAATTTCACTCAGAATTCTTCTACCATCTATTACATCCACCTGTCATGTAATACCTGAAGTGACTAAAATAATTTGCAATCAAAGAACAAAGAGGAATGAATCTGCTATTTTGCAACCAAGGAACACCTCCCCAAAACAAAACAACAAAAACAATAGACCACCCATACCTAAAATACGACTCCCGCAAACACAGTTGACACATGGCTTGGTTTTACCTGCCCGCTCCTCACGGGCACGCTGAAGGAAGAATAGTTCCTT